GCCAGAGGCGTGCCAAGCCCCACACATTCCTCTGCTGGTTCCCGGGGGCTGCTGCTGCCCAGGCACCCACCTACCTCTGTGCCATGGATGCTCCCAGCTCGCCTGGGTGCAGTTGCATGGTGCAGCCCTTAGCCACTGTCTGAAAGGCAGCTCAGTGCTCCAGCCCCGTTCCTGGGACAGGAGACACTTTTGTCTTCTCCTGTGCCCAGGCACAAGACTCGTTACTCTCCTCAGCAACCTCATCACTCTGTGCCTCAGTTTCCCCTAGCTGGGAAAAAACAGAAATGCTGCAGCACCAGTGGGTGTGGGGGAGCACAGCCTGAGCCATGTGCCAGGGTGGTGATGACCCATGGGGGCCTGCCCCACAGCACTGTACAAATCATAGAATCACAGAATCAGAGAGTGGTTTGGGTTGGAAAGGACCTTAAAGATCATTCAGTTCCAACCCCCTTGCCAGGGGCAGGGACACCTTCCACCAGACCAGGTTGCTCCAAGCCTCATCCAGCCTGGCCTTGGACACTCCCAGGGATGGGGCATCCACAGCTTCTCTGGGCAACCTGTCCCAGTGCCTCACCACCCTCTCCAGGAAGAATTTCTTCCTGATGTCCCATCTCAATCTCCCTCTTTCAGTTTAAAGCCATTATCCCTTGTCCTGTCACTCCCTGCCCTTGTAAAAAGTCCCCCCCCAGCTTTCTTGTAGCCACCCCCAGGTACGGGAAGGGGCTCTAAGGTCTCCCCGGAGCCTTCCCTTCTCCAGGCTGAACACCCCAGCTCTCTCAGCCTGTCCTCACAGGAGAGCTGCTCCAGCCCTCTGAAAACCCAAGGATGACCCAGCCCAGGCTGAGCCGCCAGCCTGCCTAATGTAGGAGAGGGCACAGCAGCTCTGGGAACTCTCACAGTGACCAAACTCTTAGCAGAAACTGCAGCAACCACTGCAACACGTGCTGGGTAGAGGTGCTTCCCCCTTGGGGCCTGGGAACATCCCAGCACAAGCTCTGGACACCCCAACAGCAGTGCCCCATGCTCCAGCTTGGAGCATCCCTGTGGGCAGAGGCCAGGCAGGGCTTGGCCGGTGCTGGTGCAGGCAGCACACCTGCAGGCAGGTGAGGAGGGTCCGCAGGGAC